CATGTGCTCGATAGTGACCGGCTTAAAGATGGATTTGATGAAATTGTAGTATGATCCTGTGACCAGTGCAGTTGAACCGTATCTGATGTGCTGTAATTACACATTGAAGACATTAATTGACGGTTGGCAGCCAATTCAGTAGTCTACACCGTAGCCATTCATCTGCAAGACCGAGAGATCGTTCATTCAAATCCCTCATGTAGGATCATGAATGCACATTACTGACGACTCGTACAAAAAAAAAACAGTTTTTCATTGCTTCCAAGTTTTCCATTTCAATTTAACTCATGAATTTTCTCAGATAAAACAAACTAAACTAATTTATACTACAATATAGATATTAAATTACATTTAAACCTATTTCATTTCTATACATAATTACACTGTGTATAAATAAAATTTCATGTTAGTTTGATTTAGAATTTTATTCTCTAATTAAGAAAAATAAAAAAACTAATTTTTATAAACTGACTAAACCAAAAATGTAAAACCAAAAACAAAAAAAAAACAAACCCAGCAACACCGAAAAAAATAACAAACGAAAATAGAAACAAAAAAAACAAAAAAAACACCCCTTCCAACCTCCCATCCCCCCCCCAATATCGTACATTAAAAATATTCTCATTCACTTAATCGATTTATGGAAAATAAATAAATAAATAAGTAAATAAATAAAACTTTATAAAAGATACATAATTTTTTTGTGATGTGAAAATTTTTTTTGTTTTTTTTTCGAAAAAAAAATTTTTTTTCTAATTTTTGTTGTTGCCGTTGTTTCAATTACAATCATAAATAAAAAATTAAAGAAAAAATAAAAAAAATAATTAAAAATGATTAAACCAATGAAACACTTGGATACAACAGTTTAATCTGATATAAATCAATTATACGTTTCTCATTATTTATTTATTTATAATAGTGATTTTGATTCATGTAAGTGAAATGAATAGTGGATTGTTTTAGAAGATTTTATTGTTTATCATCTGAGTTGAATGTGTTTTGATGAAGTTTTATTCTTTGAACTGGATGGTTTAATCATTCTTCCGAATGATATCAATAGCATAAACTTCAAGTAGAAGTGAACTGTTCGAAATTCTTTCTTTATATATCGATCACAGATTGTTCTGTAGATCTCGATGTTGATTGATTATTTTGTCTATTTTGGTTGTATCTCCTATTGATTTGATTTTTTAGTTAAGTGTTTGCATACGAGACCTATAGGTTTGAATCCTTCGGGGCAGGATCTTCGATGCGCATTGTCGAGGAGTTCCATACTAGGATGAAACGGCCATCTAGTTCTTCTAGGTTTTCTATGTTGGTCTAGCTTTAATTGACTCATGATCTCAACTATTAAAAATAATACAATATCCACAAAACCCCCTCTCTGATCATAATCATCATATGCCCACTAGTGACGGTCTCCGAGAGGTATTTCCTGGAGTTACAGTGAGAAAGAGTGACCAGTGGAGTTCAACTACGTCTGTTGTGAGATAGTAACTCACTGATGAAAATGGTGGATGTGTCGCTCAATTTCTTGAATTGGTTGAAGTTAGACATTAGCACCATTGGATGCCGGCCGGCTCAGTGATATAGAGGTTAAGCATCCGCACGCCAAACCAATAGGTCCCTAGATCAAAGCTCGCGGGCGGGATCGTGGGTGCGCAATGCTGAGGTGTTCCACATGATGATGAAACGGCCGCTCAGTACTTCCAGGTCTTCCATGATGGTCTAGCTTCAATTGACCCATGAATCCAACTATTACACTATTCAAACCTCCGCAAAACCCCTTTCAAGCTTTTTGATATGAATAAAAGGACTTTTTTAAGTGAAATCTTCTCTAATTCTTATAATTATAAAATGCACCTTTGTGAGAAACTTAAAAGGAATACGTACTAAACACTACTAGTATAAATTCACTCAGTGTTCTTTACTTGTATCTTCCCATTGTTATTTAGGACTGCAATCGATCAGTCTCATGTTGGCATATGTGCATCCCGTGCGGACTGACTCGATATTGTCTTAAGTCACAAGCATTATAAGCAAAGATGGATAGTGGCTAGCAGTGGAATCCAGTTTGACGCGCGTTTCGTCCTATTTAGGACTCGTCAGCATGATGTACCTGTATTCACTGCTAGCCGATATCCATCTTTCCTTATGCTACTAGTATAGTTCATAACAAATACTTTTAAGCTGTTTGGATGTATATATTGGAATAAAAAACTGATTTGACCATCTGTATCGAATGTTTATTACGTGTTGTTGACTAGAGTTTTTTAATTCCTTGGATGGTATATTTTTTTAAGTTACACTAGGTTTATTTGATAGGACTTTTTTTGGATGAATGTATAATTTTATAGTACATTCATCTAAATAGATATGACATTTCAAGGACTTCATTCTGCGAGGAATCTTTAAGCAGTGAATAAAGAGTGTGTAAAACTAGTCGATTAACGTTCTTCTTTCTATAGAAGTTACATAAGCTTCTATTATTAACATTTGCTCTATATGATATGGTAAGACATGAACAGTACTTCATACTATTGAAATACCCATAGTTTTCAATGATAAATATAGTTTTGATCAGAATAGGGTTTGTGGAGATTGTAGTCATTTTAATAGTTAAATTCATGATTCAATTGAAGTTGAACTACTATTGAAAACCTGGAAAGTAGTGGCCGGCCGTTTCGTACTAGCATGGGACTTGTCAACATTGCTCACACACGCAAGATTCGAACCCAGGACCTTTGGTTGCGTACGCGAACGCCAACATCTAGACTACTGATCTAGCATCAAATGGTGTTAATGTCTAATTTCAATCGATCCATGAATGATTACTCAATCATTCATCTATTGTCTGAGATAGATATCTGTCTCTAACATCCAGTGCTCCCACGTTTTCAATGGTGATCTAGCTTACATCGATTCTTGAATTCAATCATTAAAAAATAGTTTTCTCACTGTTTTATAATGTATTGAAGAAAAATTTACTATTGAAAACATTCTAAGATTGAAATGAATAGTGGAATTAAGAAGAGGGAAAAATGTAGACATTTTACCGTAATGAGTTTCATCTGAATTTTTGGATTATTACAAGAGAAGAAATTGATTTTAGTGACCCTTCATTTTGACACCTATCAGACCACAAGATGTTATCGACAGGCTCACCACTTTAGTGGCCTGGGATCTGACTCCAGTGAGATCTTTTCTGATTGTTATCGAGATATACACGTCGTCATTCTTTGTATATAATTATTGACTTAGATCGTGTTGGTGAACAACGGAATTAAATAAGTCGGATACGAGCATAGATGTTTTGAATACATATATTTTGTACACTCACTGATCTTTAACAGGAAATGAGAGGAATGAAACGAATAGAAGAGAACGAAGCGAAATAATACACGGTGGAGAACACGTGTGAGCCATCTCTCATTTAGCCAGATAAAAATAAGTTGCAGACATGTGATGGATAGGATAAGATGTGCACACACACACACACGTTCATATGAAAACAGTCAAGATTGATAAGCGAACAATCGACAAAGTCAAAATTTGAAGCAAGAATTAATGGTTAAATTGGCCTATCCAGAAGTTAGAATAAGGTATATGGGGTTAACATAACAACCGACACCACATGATAAATACAATACTCACGCGAGTTTTAATTCTGTTGAAATTTCAAAGACAATCTGTAGTGTGATTATCAAGTTGGGTGGTAAGTAATTTAATATCATTCTGGTAAATTACAATGTCGATAAACGTAAGTTTGAATAGCCAAGTGACTATGAAACTATTTGTATTCATAAACATATAGTGTTAGTATAAGCCTGTAACTCTTCTAGAGTTATTGTTGGTCCCATGCCCGGGTAAGTTCAGTGATAAAATTTATGATACTATAGTATTTAGAGAATAAGTGATTTCAAACGATTACTTACTTACTGACTTACGCCTGCTGCTCCCAATGGAGCATAGGCTGTCGACTAGTCTGCAGCAATTTAGATAACTCTCCTAGTCTCTCATATTGTACGAACATTCCATGTACTTGAATTACTGGTTGCTCTGGTTGTCAGAAGGGGCATCAGCCTCGTGATTTCCAAAGGAACTCGGCTTTCATCATGATACGTCGTAACTCTTCTAAATAAAGACCTTCTAACTCCAAAGGCAGAGTTTAAAAAGTTTGAACTGTTTTTTCTGGTTAGCGTTTTTTAACGAGTTAGTTTTCTACCCCATGCCCAACTCTCCTCCTTTATCCAGACTTGAGACCGGCAGCGGCCCCAGAGGGGCTCCAGGCGGAGTTATTTCAAACGATGTTTCACAGTTATTTATTAGTGGATTGAGATTGTTCAAGTAGTAGCAGAAACAATGAATTATTTATTTCGCTACGCAATGAACCCATGAATAATTTCATACATGAAGGTCTGTTCAAAGTAGTATTTCATTTTCACCCTCAAATGCTCTGGGTAGGGAGAGTCAACTCTTCATTTCAAAATGATCTAACATGGCCATACGTATACAACCACTGTCAGGGAAGTCCTAATCACTGCCTTCTCAAGGCATTGCTGTTGTTTACGAAACTGAGAAGACGAAGAACGAATATCCGGCGCTTTAACTGAGTTGGTGGATGCGGATGGTCCACCCACGGGAGTCGGAAAACCCTGAATCAAAGCCAATGGCGCGGATGGGCTCCGGTATCCTGAACGAGCAAATGGCGTATGAACCACTCGTTGGTCACCGGCTACCATGGGACTACATCTCCTAACGTTGCTTCACTGCCTTGTAGATCAGACTTTTAAGTCAAAGGCTCTGGGTGTGGCCCACTAAGAAAAGCATCTGCTTCGATCTGGGCACCCGGGCAGTATCACAGCCCACACAGAAATCAAGTGACTTGTTTGGCGAATATGTATTCGGTGCCCCTTTGTACCAATATTTATATGTTCAAATAAATAAATAATAAATTCAAATACTTCAGCTGACTAAGTATTCTTCTTTCTCTTAGATCGGAAAGACAAAAGTATGGATTATCTACACTATCTATTCACTTTACTGTTTCTAACTAATTTTTCACCATTATCAAGTGAAAATCCAATCTTAACAGAAATCACAATATCAGAACTGGGTAATAAGTAAGTTTGTGAAATATGTTATCATTTCTAACTAAATAGAAACTTTCCTATTATATAACAGACCAGTTATTAGTAGAAAGTACATTATTATAATACATCTACTTAATAACAATCAGCAATATCTTATGAATATTCTGCCAGTGATCGTATATAGTTGAGTTTATGAGTCAATTGAAGCTTGACTACCACCATGGAAAACCTGAAAGAACTGGACGGCCGTTTCATCCTATTGTGAAATTCCTAAGCAGTCCGCATCCTTGATCCCGCCTCGCAAGATTTAAACCCAGGACCTATCTGTCTCGCGTGTGAGCGCTTAACCTTTAGACCACTGAGTCGGCATCCAACGGTGCTAATGTCTAACTTCAACCAATCCATGAAATTGCGCCGCACGTCCACCATTGTCATCATACTAGGACGAAAAGGCCGTCCAGTGCTTCCGGGTTTTCCATGGTGATCTAACTGCAGTCGACTCATGATCTCAACTATTTAACCTACTATAATACCACAAGACCCCTATCTGATTATTCATGGCTATTGGTCATGATATTGTGGTGAATGCGAACATAAGAATGGGGTCAACCAATCAAGATTACGTTTAATGCTTCATTGACCAAATATCTATCAATTGTCTCAGACTTTGTTATTCCTGTATTTACATAATAATTATTCTCTGTTCTCATTCTCTTCTATTCTATCTTCTTAACTTTTTACTGCTAAGCCATCCCAATTTTGGTTGATGCTATATACTACTTATATCTGTCGATATAAGTAGTATACATCACAACGACATAATTTTCTCAAGTTTGTAGATAAACGATGTTAATAATTACCAAGATAAGTACGATTTATGGCCCATTAAGTTTGAATAAGTTATAAGTATAGTTTTACCATTGACAGAATATCGTTTATGATCTGAACGATTGTGTCATATGAAACTACTGTTGTTACATTCAGGTACTCTCTGTTTAGCATTATATCTTTGGTTGTGTAATTTGTGGTAGTTACTTCATTCCATTCATAATGTTAGTTGTTAATTGATGTCCACCACTAAATTATTGAAAATCAAGACGCATTTAATAGTCATCTCTGTATGTTTTCACAATGCTTAGGAATGTCTGGACGTGAATAAATAAATGGTAACCGTTAGGAATTACTTATGGACTAATGTTATACGTAAATTCTTATTATATGACTATTAAGTAACTATATTATGTATTTATATTCATATTTATTTCATGATAAGCTTTTATTTGACCTGTTAACTACTATTATACGATTTACTATTCTTAAGTTATCCCCACTTTATTAGCTATAGTCTCTGACAATCACAGCCACTTTTTGGCTTGATCTTTTACAAATGTTATTTTCTATTTCATGATGTGATGTGGTCCATTTGGCTTGTGTATAAACTCAGTATGTTTGAAATACATGATTCATATCTCAGAGGCTGAGATCGGTGTTCTGGACTCAATAGGCAGGGTTAGGCAGGAAGAAGGACCGATAAAGATTCTAGACTGCTCGTACAGGTTTATACGTCATTGATCCGGTCGATAAGTCAGAGCATCTAAATTGGCAATCGCATATTTCACAATAATCGTATAAGCTAAGGGCATAACAATTTGTGACGAGAATTTCGGAAAAAAGATGAAGGAAATAACAAACTTCAACAATAACATTGGTGTTGTTTGCTTGAATCTTCCCATTGATGTTTAGGACTGCGATTGATCAGTCTCTTATTGGCATTTGTGTATCCTGTGCGGACTGCCTCGATATTGCCTTAAGTCATAAGCTTTTTAAGCAAAGATGGATAGTGGATAGCAATGGAATCCAGGACACACATTTCCGACGATACTAGGCTCGAGTCCCAGAGTGAAAATCAACAAGTCTGAGACCCAGATACATCTAGCTGAGGCGTCACAACTAGGATGAAATGCGCGTCAAACTGGATTCCATTGCTAACCACTATCCATCTTTGACTATAACAATAAACAGTTGTCTACTGCTTTTTGTCTTTCAATGAATGTTTCTCTAACTTATGTTATTCATTCATGAAATAAAATGGACCTATTAGATTAAATCTTCATTGGCATTGTAGATGACTCCTAATGTATCGCATATTCTGCATGACTTTTTATTTAACTTAGAGAAACGGATTCAACCGTAACTCCAGTTAATCGTCTAATAGAAAATTCCACTGAATTTTATAAGTAAGTCTTAAAATATTTTGTTAGTTTAGTAAATATTTATAATAAACTGTAATACTTACTATTATGACACTAGAGTTTTGTTCTCTGAGCTGGATGGTGTTATAACCCGTGGATTTGTGCCTCTATCTATGTATAATGTAATGATACCGCCAATGAGAGAACAGTGATTTATCAACCGGACCAATGACGCATAAACCCGTAAGAACAGTCTAGAGTCTTTATTGGTCCTGCTTCCCACCTCACCCTACCTGTTAAATCCAGAACATAAATCTCAGCCTCTGAGATATGAATCTCTTATTATGAATATAATGGGTTTATATACAAACGAAACAGAACACATCATACCATAAAATAGGAAACAGCATTTGTACAATATTTAGCCAAATGTTGCTGTGAATGTGGAAGATAGTAATTGATAGACTTAGCATAACTGAAGAATAATAAATCGTAGAGCCTGAGATTGATGTTCTAGACTTAATAGGCAGGTGTAGGCAGAAAGAAGGACTAATGAGATTCTATCCTGCTTGTACAGGTCTATGCGTCATTGGTTCGGTTGACAAATTAATGTACTCTAATTGACGGTATCACTATGTCATATATATTATTAAGGGCACAAGGCCATAAGTTATAACAGTTTGTGCACCCAGGCATTATCCTAGTTCTCACACAAATCGAATGATTTATGTGGTGCATATCTGTTTGGTGCCTCCTTGCATCGATGTTTATCTGTTTAAATAAGTAAATACAATTGACTCATAATGGATATAACATTTATTCGAAGATTGTGTATTAATACGTAAATGGTGATACTATAATCAATGGACGATCTTTCAGTGACTCTAAAGTGACCGTCGTAGTGTTCACCTAATAACTAGAACCAAATGAGAGTTATAAACCAGTGTGAGGAATTCGAATTATGATTTACAGTTGATAATTAAGGTTAGGAATTAGATTTAGAGTTTTTATCAGCTATAATGACAGAACTTCATTTAGTCAAATGGATGAGTGGATTTCGCGCCAAAATCCAAGACCTGTGTATCTTATACCGGATTGATTCACCCATAAATTGTAGTCTCTTCACATAAATCACCAAGATAGTTTTGTTTTTCATCACTTAGTGATTCACTAAATAATAAACTTGTTTATTACATAGAGATACTCCCTCCCTCCTCCCTATCTATTGTAAAAACTGAAAATAGTCCATGGAAAATTCATAAACAACCATATTTATTCAGGTTTCTTTACTTTTCTAACAAATTATTCCTGATAGATAGTAACTAACAATGGAATCCAGTTTGACGTGCGTTTCGTCCTATTTGGGACTCGTCAGCTGGATGTACATGAACCTCAAAGTTGATGTTCACTCAAGGACTTGAATCCAGTACCGTTCGTTTCAAACATCACTGCGTTATCTACTTAACTACTGAGTTTTGATAGCCACCTGCTTATGACTTCAGGCAATATCAAGGTAATCCGCATAGAACGTCAACAAGAGACTGGTCAATTGCAGTCCTAAATAACAATGGAAAGATATAAGTAAACAATACCAAGTGAATAAAAGTATTCATGATTTATCCAAACTATCAGATCATCTTTCAGTCTATAAGATCATTTTAACACTGTCAAAGATTGTCTATGAACTGCAATTATACTCAGTTTACTGTTAAAGAAAATGGATATTACATTTACATAATCATTTACATATATCATATACAATGTCTGATTTGTAGTGTTGAAGATTTTGGTTCAACTGAAAGAGGAGAACAGAATCCCAATATTACAGGAAACTTGTCTTCATTTGGTACTGTGTAAGTCTAATCTTATTAATTGAATGTATAATGTATGAAAGGCATGTGAAATACGACTTAATAAGCTCAGTTAACATCAATAACCTCAATATTGGTAATGTTTACTAACTAATATGAAATGTTTAGGTTGCATACATCATAGAATAGTCTAGTTCAGGATATCATTGAAAACTAGGGAGTAATGGATAACTCTTTAGGAATACACACTCATGATCTAGAGATTTGCCGAACCAAGGGACTTAAGTTCTCATAATGAAGACTTACTCAATCATCTGTGCAGAATACACTCAACTAATTAGACTATTTTTTTCAAAAGCTTTACAACTAATCTACAGCTGCTTATTCTATACGAATACATAATGAACTTAAGTATAAATTTGGAATCATTTAAAAGAAAATATTGACGAATAATTAATGAGGTAATCAAGAAGATGAACAGGTTGGTTATACTATTCACCGGTGGTTAATAATGAATGATAGTGAATTGAAACATGTTGCTGTCAGATTAATAGATTATGTAATGTCCTTCTAGAGCCTCTCTGCGGCGCCTTCCGGTCCCGAACCAGGAAAAAGGCGAAGAGTTGGGCATAAGGTTAGCGACCTCATCTTGTAGAAAACGAACTCGTTAGAAAAACGCTAACCAGATAAAATAATTCAAACCATTTAAACTCTGCCCTTGGAATTAGAAAAGTTATGATGCTTCATGGTAAAAGCCGAGTTCATTCGGAAGTCATGAGGCTGATGCCTCTTCTAACAACCAGAGTAACCATTAATTGAAGTACATGGAGTGTTCGTACAATGTGGGAGACCGGACGAGTCATCCAGGTTGCTGCAAAAATGAATAACAGTTGGATAGAACTAGAAAGGAAGGTTCAGGATAGAGTGGGTTGAAGAATGTTGGTCAGCGGCCTATGCTCCATTAATGGTAACAAGCGTAAGTACATAAGTAAGAGAATTAATCAAATTTCGATAAGAAGTCTGATACTTATATGGTATTTGCATAAGAATGAAGCTGTGAATGTTGTAACTACATACAAACAAAAAAAAATTAGGAGAATCAAAAGAGGGCAAAAGGACTATGTTATTGAGCAAAGTAAAACTGAGGGTAGCACGAATTCATTGTGTATGTACAGACTTGGTTTACTTGATTTCAAAGTACCTTTAGTCATTAAATTGACATTATTGTAACCATCATCGAAAATCAGCGATCGCAAGGTAATATTTGTATGGATTGTGTAATCACAATTTTTTTTGTCTATCTACTCTTTTTGTCTTGTTTGAATTCAACTGACTTGACATTGTATGGATTATATTTCTGTATCGGGTAGTAAGAAAGTAGTTGGTAACCACTCAGTGACCAGACATTTTAAATACTTCAATCCTGTAGGATGTCAGTTGCTACTCGAGTCACTCACTGAAAACGTCTTAGATTGTGAAGCTGTGATTCGGGTTTCTGTCTACCCGGAAACATCAATTTACTGAAGATCATGGGTATACCTTAATGATGAGTGCAAATTACTAAGAGAAATAGGTCTGAAAAAGCTTCTTGTCCACTACTTTCAACTATCTATAATGAAAGTAAGGACATCATTGAGCGAATTCCATTCTTAATCTTCAATATTCACAACGATAAGGTTAGATTTAATGAAATATAACATGTTTTTTTATGATAATTCATTGTTAAAACGTCTCATTTTTAAGATTTGAAGAAGCTATTTCTATTTCTCAAGAAGGATTGAATTTCATTACGTCTGGGAAACTTGTTTCAACCACTCCTGAGTAAGTTCAATATCTTTTAGATTGAGATCATGAACCGATTGATGTTAGACCATTAGTGGATTGGTTGAGGTCACAAATTAACACCATCGGATGCCGACCAGCTCACTGATCTAAAGATTAAACGTGCGCACGCGAGACCAAACGCCCTAGGTTCAAATCCCGAGCGCGGGATCCTGGATGTGCACTGTTGAGGAGTCCCACAATAGGATGAAATGACCGTCCAATACTCCCAGGTTTTCAATGGTGGTTTAAAATCAATTAATTCATGATCTCAATCAAAAACTTCATAATTTCCATAACCCTATACTGATCAATATCTCTTGTCAAATATTTTATATAATGTAGAAATTTTTCTTATGTATATACAAAGAAAGTTTGAATGATTGTTTCCGAAGTATTCGGCTTTGAGACAATTTTATTGAAGAAGTAAAGTTAGATTTAGTATCATTAAGGATTAAGGGATACAAGATGATTATCTTTATCAGCGTAGGCTTATAATCTCAATCCAGATTGAATCCAGCAAATCACTGAGTACAGCTAATTTATGATATAATATAGTCTTTTATGGTATATCATCATAGTGTTATTTCATTTCACATACAAAATTCCTCAAATTCACTGATTCTGGAGTTATATTTTTATTCAGCCGTACTGTAGTGAACCAGAACATAAAAGGGGGACAATCGAATGGACTTGAACACACGAATTACAGAACAACTGAGTAAAATCTGTGAATCATACAGTGAAGACTTCATTTGCAAAGTGTTGACCAATTGTCTTAGACTTCATGGTTTTTTTCGATTCTATACCAATCATTCACTGTTATCGTTCTCTTTTCTTTGATCTTCCTGACCTTCTGCTTCCAGACATCTCACTTTTGATTGATAATCATACATACTACTTATATCTGTCGATATAAGTAGCACATACCATAATACATGTTTAGTTTCTGATCTTCATAATATTTCGATTTTTATGATTTTTGTGAGTATTCAACATTAAACTATTTCATTTTAAGATCTGAATTTGCGTCTGTACTTCATGAAGATTGGAATTCTACAATGTCGTCTAACAATCCGATTTTAACTAATTCTATGTAAGTGGATTATTTTGGGGGGTTAAACTTATAAAGTAAATACTTAATTGATTCTGTACATCAGCTTGAAGTTCTCATTTGTAGGTTAATACTAAATTCATGCTAATCAAACAAACACACATACACATTTATTTATTTGAGCATATTGTTATTGGTACAAAGTGGGCAACGATTGGTCCAAATGCCATTCGTTCCTTCAGCAGCCACTGCCAAGAAAGTCCTACTAACTGTCTTCTCAAGGCATTGCTGTTGTTCACGAAATTAAGAAGACGAAGAACGAATATCCGGCGCTTTAACTAGATTAGTGGATGTGGAGGGTCCACCCACGGGAGTCGGAAAACCCTGAATCGAAACCAATGGTGCAGATGGGCTCCAGTATCCTGAAGGAACAAATGGCGTATGAAACGGTTGTCGGTCACCGGCTATCATGAGTCTGCACCTCCTAACGTTGCTTCACTGCCTTGTTGATTCGTCCTTTATGTCACAGGCTCCGGCTGTTGCCTCCTAGAAAAATTACTTGGTTCAGTCTGGGCACCCGGGCAGTATCACAGCCCACACATAAATCAAGCGACTTGTGTGGCGCACATCAATTTGGTGCCCCTTTGTACCATTATTTATGTGTTGAAACATATAATAAATAAATAGGCTTCAGTATATAATATACCGTTTTTCTTGTAGGCATGAAATAAATGTTACCAGAAATGATGCATCAACATTTCAACTTGAAGATCAAAATACACAAGAACCTGTAAGTTTTTATCAAAAGCAAAAGAGTTTATGTAATTAAATACTCAATGGTATACTTCTAATTTCACAAACATATATTGGTTGATGTTAGGTAGTAAAGCCTAATTACTAGAAAACTTCCAGTGTTTGAGATCATGAGTCAATTGAAGCTAAACCACCATGAAAAGCCTGGAAGCACTGAATGGCCGTTTTGTCTTATCGTGGGACTCCTCAGCGGTGTGCATCAACAATCCCGCCTCGCGACATTCGAACTCAGGACCTATCAATCTCGCGCGTGAGTGCTTAACCCTTTAGATCACTGAGGTGATCGGCATCCAATGGTGTTAATGCCTAACTTCAACCAATCCAAGAAATTAAGCGACACATCCACCATCATCTTCGGTGAGTTACTATCTCACAACAGACCCTGTTAAACTCCACTGATCAGTAGAACTCCAGGATATACATCTTAAAATCAAGTATTCCATAGTGGTTTAGCTTCAACTGACTCATAATCTCAACCATTCAGATTACTATAATATCCACAAAACCCTTCAGGCACTAGAAAACTGTTGAAACTTGAACTTCACCGCAATCAATAGTTTTTGTCAGACTATATATATAACTTAGTAACCAGTTTCATTTAGAACAAGGTTTAAGTCGAGGATGTACCATTGAACTACGGTTATGTGCCAGTTAGCTTAGTAATCAAATTGTGACTTAGTTGATATAATTTAGCTGACGATATGGTCTACACGAGATGATTTTGGTTATAAACGAATAATCGTTTAGCATGTAAATAGAATGAATGTATTTAAGCATTGAACGTAACGTGAAATTCGAATCATAATTTAAGTAAATTTACAAATCACTAAAAATATTACTTACTTACGTATAGGCCACCCACCAGCACTCTCCATCCAACCCTGTCCTAAGCAATCCTTTCCAGTTATTTTTTATCCTTTTCATATCTGCTTCCATTTCCGACGTAATGTGTTCTTCCGCCTTCCGCTTTTCCACTTCGCTTCAGGACTTCAAGTTAGAGCTTTCCTCTTGATACAATTTGGTGATTTCCGTAATGTATTTCCTTTCCATTTCCATCGTCTTTTCCTAATTTCCTCTTCAAATGGAAGCTGGTTTGTTCTCTCCCACAGTAGTCTGTTGTTGATGGTATTCGGTCAACAGATATTGAGTATCTTGCGTAAATAACTATCTATAATTACTTGTATCATTTTGATGATGGTTGTGATAGTTCTCCATGTTCAGCTCTGTACAATAGTTCTGTCTTGATATTCGTATTGAAGATTGTGATTTTGATCTTGATTGACAGTTGTTTTGAGTTTCATATGATCATCAATTGTAGGAATGCTGCCCTCGCTTTGCCGATCCTCGCCTTTATGTCTGCATCCGATCCTCCTTGTTCATCAATGATGTTTCCCAAGTACGTGAAAGATTCCACACTTTCCAGAGTTTCTCCATCAAGTGTGATTGGGTTGGTGTTCTCCGTGTTGTCTCTGAGGATATTGCTTTTTCCTTTGTGTATGTTGAGTCCTACTGATGCAGAGGTTAATGCTACACTAGTTGTCTTCATCCGCATTTGTTTGTGTGTATGGGATAGAAGTGCCAGGTCATCTGCGAAGTCCAAAATATAGTTTTTTAAGATTCTCAGTCATAATATAATGATTTTATGATAAAAACGTTTTGGTACTGCACATCATAAAATATGACAGAAGAAGTGTTTTCTAATGAATGATCATCTTTTGAATACGAATTGTTCGACGTTAACGACCTTAAAATCAGAAGATTTGTTTAATGTATTTAAGGTCAAGTACAGTAGGAACTTATTCGAATGAATGTTTCACATTACCGTAAGTTAACTAAAGTGTAGTAGCATACCTTAATGTAGTAAATTAGTTAAGGAATATAAAGGGTGCAAGTGAAATGACTCAATAATAATCAAATGTCTGAATGATTTTATATACAACTGAAATATGTTATTACATAGATTTCATAGAAGTTTCACTCGTTTTATGACCCTATATCGATTATGATTAGTACATTGATGTCTAGAGCGGTGCCCTAGTAGAACACTTTATAATAACCGTTCATCAACTGATGTGGATATCCGTCACTTTCAGTGAAGTACATGATAACTATAGTCATTTCTTTATGAAATATCGATCCAAAGTGATGGTTAATTTTTATTTTATTTATATGTTAATAATCTCAATATTTTTCAATGAATAAACCTATGGATCTTGACATTTTTTAATGTTATGCGGTAGGCTACTTAATTATAAATAGTAGCTTAAAATATATTACATAATTTCCGTAGGTTCGTAAATCATGATTTATTTTTGTGGAAATAATCAACTAATTTCATCAGTTTTTATTTATATATTGATTCTTCGTTTTCCCATTATCACGTTTAATTTATGTGGATATACACTGCTCAGAAATATTTTAGGCGAAACTACAATTTATGGAAGAACTAATCAGATTTACGATAACAGGTCTCGAATTTCACTCATCCATTTAGCTAAATAGAGTTTTGGCATTTTAGCTAATGTCAGTTCGTGATGAAAACGCTAAATGTGATTCATTCTCAGAGATATTTCATGCTACATTGTGTACTCTTCATCTATGTAAGGAGTAACACTGTAAAAATCAAACGAGTTTATATAAATGTAAGAGCTCATAGGGTGATTAGTAGAGCTTTGTTTAGTATGAGGAGAGTTTATGTCACAAATTGTAAACTTTAGGAAACCCATTGTAAACTAAGACGTAGTGAATAATTAGTTTTATTCTCCATTGAAAAACTCCAGAAATTTCCGATCATAATTTCTCACAACATTGATTGTAAAAACTTAATGTCTCTTAGTGAACACGAAGCAATTCGGTCTCTAACTTCAATTACATAAATCAGACTTTCGATTATAAATAAATTTGTCCGATCTTTATTTCAATTTATTGAAATTTACGAAATTGAGTGGACGAAAAACGAATATTCGGTGCTTTAACCGGGTTGATGGACACAGAGAGTCCAACTAGGGGAGTTGGAAAATCCTGAATACAAACCAGTGGTACACATGGGCCCCAGGATCCTGAGGGAACAAATGGCGTATGAAACAACTATTAGTCACAGGCTACCATGTGACTACATCTACTGACGTTACTTCACTGCCTTGTGGATTAGACCTTTAGGGTTAAAGGCTACTAGTGTGGCTACCTAAGTAAACCACCTGTTTCGGTTTGGACACCCGAGCAATATCCATCATCTTTCTTATCAATATAGGGTTATAGAGACCATTAAATTTTTGATTGAGATCATAAACTGATTGATTTTAAACCACCATTGAGAATCTGGAAGTATTGGACAGCCGTTTTGTCTCATTGTAAGACTCCTCAACAGTGCTCATCCACGATCCCGTTCTCAGGATTCGAACCCAGATCTTTCAGTCTCGCGCGCAAACGACTAACCTCTAGACCAATGAGTCGGCATCTAACGGTGTTTAACCTATCAACCAATCCAGGAAATTGTTCAACCATCTTCCATAATTCTTATTACCAGTTTATCAATCAAGATCATTTCATCCATATTTCTTGATAGTGTTATTACCATGTTTAATTCTTGTATCTTCTTCTTCTTCTTCTTCTTCTTCAGGAAACAGAAAATAACGATATAGTGGATTTGTTAGATAGTTTACTAAATAAACTTAAAATACCTTCGGATAATTGGTTAAATTATCGTTACATAATGGCAATGCAAAGTCCTGACGGAAGTATTTATATACCAAAAAATCATACACAAAGTACTAGAAAACATTTGATTACTCTATTAGGGTATGTAAAATAGAATTTTGTATTGTTTTTTTCTTTCTTTCAAGTAATTCAATGACCCTAATGAATTTCTTTATTGACAATAATAATAAAGAGGTTACCAAGGACAAAACACTTCAGTGATATTAAATGATCGAGGTGTTTATCACTCTTCAAGTCACCGGTAGATAGTGGCTAGCAGTGGAATCCACTTTGACGCACGTTTCGTCCTATTTAGGACTCGTCAACTGGATGTGTTTGCATATCATAGTTGATGTTCACTAAGGGACTCGAACCCAATAAAGTTCGCTTCAAACGCCACTGCTAGCTATTATCCATCTTTGCTTAAAAAATTTTGTGACTTAAGGCTATATTGAGGCGATCTGCACAGGATGAACATATGTCAATAAGAGACTAATCAATTGCAGTCCTAAATACCAAGTGAATCTTTAGGTCAACATTCAGACGAATTTCTTGACAACTGATGCTTTAATAGATAAATGGTTATCAATATTAGGGTCTTTGATCGTTTAAATGTACATCATTTGTCTGCTGGCTATCTTCTAAACAAAATCAACGAATATCATATTGTCACAATTGATTGATCACTGGTTGGTGACCAATATCATGTGTGTCAAGTCCTTATTATTAGTGCAGATCGAATGCTATCGACCATGATGCAATGTGGTCACCAACCTAGGTGACTCGATACTGCATGCACTATTGTGAGATTAGATGGTGGTTGGAGGTAGGAGACAGGAAACCCGAGTCCAGGGTTAAATTCTTCTATATATACCCAGATCCCATTGATAGTATGCTATAAACCATGAGATTTTAATGTTTGAATTTCAATCCTATATAATCCTGTGCATATGTACTGTTGCGAGAACACAAGTGTGAACAATCGAATATATTTGAATACACAAAATGACATAATCTGAGAATTATACAGTTAATACTTCATTTACAAACTGTCAATCCATTGTCTCAGACTTCATTGTTCCTTCATTTCCATACAAATCACTTTCTGTTCTCATTCTATTCTCTTAGATCTTTTTAACCTTCTACCTCCAAGCATTTGACTATCAATTGATGATGCATACTACTTATATCTGTCGACATCAGTAGCATACACCACACGACACACTTCAAATCTATGATCAGTTTAAATTTTCGTTTCAGTGCTGAGTAGCGATATTTTTGGTTCGCAAAATAAATTAAATGATCCGTCAAAATCCAATCAGTAGTTATTAACTATTGAGAAGTACATTAGATTCTAAAAAGAACTATCATATAAACTTTAAATAAATATAATAAATCTTTTTAATAGTTAAATTCATGAGTCAGTTGAAGCTAGACCACCGTGGAAAACCTGGAAGCACTAGACAGTCGTTTCGTCCTAGTATGGGACTCCTCAGTAGTGATCTGGAGGTTAAACATTCGCGCACGAGACTGACAAGTGTTGGGTTGGGATCTCGCGAGGTGGGATCGTGGATTTGCACTGCTGAGGAGTTCTATATTAGGACGAAACAGCAGTCCAGTGCTTTCAGGTTTTCCATGGTGGCCTAGATTCAATTGGTTCATGAATTCAACAATTAAAAAATTATCAAAATCTCCACAAAACCCCATCTGAAAATTGAGTAAACAATAATAGCACAGAATCTCTAGATGATTAGATGATATTCATTTTGAAGTGTACTTTGGTAACATCAACACAAATTGATTGTTGATAATCAGAACAAGATTAATGCATTGATGTATGGCTGCCTGTTTGAATATCTGAGCTACCTGTTCCTGCCATCTAGATATTTCAACAGGTTTTCTATATCCTTATTTGTTTTAATACATCATTAAGGCTGTTAATCGAATAACCTATTCAGGTGAGTATCTGAGAAGTGTACAACCTTTCATTGTACAAGTTACAAAAGAGCAAAATCATAGATATTGTGGTTGCTGGCAATATGTATTGAAAAGAATAAACATTATTCATATGTCGATTCCCAAACTGCTAACATCTAATTGGCGATTAATCAATATTTAAGGAGACTGCAAAAACATACATACCTCGTAAATTTCGCATAATTAGCTTCGAACACCTACTTAATATTCAATATTTATCAAAAAAAAGAGTTTTGTGAAGATTTTAGTAATTTTCTTAGTTGAATTCATGAGTCAATTGAAGCCAGACCACCATGGACAACATGGAAGCACTGGACGGCCATTTCGTTCTATTGCGAGACTTCTCAACAGTGCTCATCCACGACTGCGCCTCGCGGGATTCGAACCCAGGACCTATCAGTCTCTGGTCTGCTGATGAGTCCCACGAGAGGACGAAAGAGCCGTCAAGTGCTCACAGGTTTCCCGTGGTGGTCTGGCTTCAATTTACTCATGATCTCAACTGTTGAAATTACTACAATCTCCACTAAACCCCTTCTGATACTAAGTCAGATTTTGTCATTAAAATATCATTTATCATTTTCCCAATTATTTTAAATATTTTTTCAGATTTGCTGAAGAAATTGTATCTAATAAAAGTATGTTTAATATTACTAACTAAGACATTTACTTTAAACTAACTTTCTTTTATATTGATTCATGATAGGGCAATTAACAACAAACCATGTTTAGTGTTCTCGGAATCAGCTGAGCAGCAAAACCGCTACGACGACACCAGTTCAACGATTTCATTAAACTATTCAGTTAGTAGTAGCGACAGGCATTGTATACAAAGTCATGGATGTAACCAGATCAAGCTTATGACTCGCATTTACTAGGAATTCCTTGTTCACGCGAAACACTTGTAAGCCCCGATCCAAGTCACGAAGATGATGAAACAATTTGCCTAAACCATTCCGGGCCAGATTTTCAGACTCGCTGATACCGTCGTTGTAGCGCATGTGTGGCCCCGGAGACCTAAAAACATCATAAACCATTTATTGCTCAACTTTTTGTGACTTAAATGATAATATAATTATAAGAATTACACAGCCAATCAAGAGATTTAAATGAGAACTGCATATTTTACAGAGGTAAACTCATAATTACGGGGGGATTCTGACCACATCCACAATTAATCCACTAATTAGTATCACGAACGTGTTCCAGTTGGTCGCGACTGAATCGCTTCAATAATAAGTATTACTGAGGAGTCTCAAACTGAAAAAGAACGTCAGTCTATTGTTGTTTCAAAGTTTTGGCATATCTATCCAGGGAAATGCTCCAAGTTATTTATATGACAAGAATTTCTATTTCGAGATAGTGGAGAAGATTTGTAGCTCAGGTAGATGATTCTGATGGGGTTTTGTTCTCTGAGCTGGATGATTTGGTCGTGGAGCTTTCATCGCTCTTCTGAACGACATCATCACCAGTACAAACTTCAGGTATAAATGATGTGTTGGAATTTCTCTGCATGTGGTTCACAGCTTGTCCTGTACACTTCGATGTTGATTGGTTCTTGTTGACCTCAAACCTGTCACTGTTTACTTGGTTGTTTTGGTTGTATCTCCCATGGATTTGATTTTTGTTTCTATGTTTGTGCATAATTTTCCTGATTGGTTGGTAAATTGAATCGATTTCAGTGTGCTTGTTGATTGTTGATTGACCTTAGTGCCAAGTTTCTAAAAATTCTCTGGTGTTTTTGGTACTGCCTCTATACAAAATCTCCACATTTTTCCAGTCGAATGTATGCCCGCAGTTGTCCACGTGCATTGATGTGTGAGGATATGTCATGGCATTTCACCGCTAATTGATGTTCATGAAGGCGAAGTTGAAGAGGGCGTCCGGTTTGTCCGATGTAGTGTTTTTTGCAGTCGGTACAATTTATTTTGTAGATGATACTTCGTTTGTCTTCTTTTGTCATTTCATCCTTTGGTTTGCATAGGACTGATTGTAGAGATTTTGTTGGTTTTTGTGCAACACCTACTCCGAAGGTTTTCAGCAGTCTGGGGAAAATTGTACACAAACATAGGAACAAAAATCAAACCAATTTGAGATACGACCAAAACAAAGAAGTAAACAATGACAGGTTTAAGGTCAACAAGAACCAATCAACATCGAGGTGTACAGGACAAGCTGTAAATCACATGTGGAGAAATTCGAACACATCACTTCTACCTGAAGTTTGTACTGATGATGATGTCGTTCAGAAGGACGATGAAAATTCCACGACCAAATCATCCAGCTCAGAGAACAAAACTTCATCAATAAGAACTTCTATCTATTTATTGTAATGTAATATTTGAACATTTAGTCTTCAATCTTTCATTTACATCAGTTGTGTATGCTACAACCTAAGCTGGCTGTAGGATGCCTCCTATAGTTTCTCTACTGATCTTACAAGTAATTCGAACTCAAAATGCATTCAGGTTCCTGAGAATTCAGCTTTCAACTGTTGACTACATCAACTCATATACGACTCACCAGTTCACATTACCAAACTAGGAATCTTGTTATCAGCATACACCACAGTAGTGTAACTTTTTCAAATGAAATATCAAAAACACACGTTTAGTTCCATTTGGAACTCGTCAGATGAATGTACTTCCATCCATAAGTTGATATTCATCATTAGAATCTTAATTATAATTGCATGTTTAATATGGTTACTTTGTATTTCATATTCAAGATGGTATTACATATATCAACAACAAGAACAACAACAACAACAACAACAATGAAGAGAAGTTACCAATCACCACACAATCGATAAATGATGATACTTTGATTCTTCTTGAAAATAATATATCAATCATTGAAGATAATCAATCTAATATTGATTATGAAAAGAATATAACTGATAATGATCAAGAATTCTCAAAAATTGACGATGAAACAAGAACATTTACTGAAGTATCCGATCTTTTTTCTTCTTCAAATGTTACTGAAAGAGAAGAAGGAAGATTAATGGATTATGAATTACATAACTTCAATGAGTCAAAGGATCTACATGAAATTTTGGAACATATAACCTCTGATGATGTGGATCATAGAATAACTGAACAAAATAATCAGTCTTCTACATTGGTTACTGACGAAAGATTGTTGAATATAACTAATGAATTACAATTAAACAGTAAACAAGAGAATATCACAACGGATTCAATGGATAATGTTAGACAATAACGTACAGAACTAAAAAATAATCAATCAATGAAAGTTTAGAAGATCGGGTAAACAAATTATCCCTGTCAATATTAAGTGTATTCAATATTATTAGTTATCACTATGGCTTATTGATTTATGTTTACCTCTCTTATTCATGTTGTTACTTTCATTAAGTTGTTATACAGTGTATCTTGTTGTCACATAGTTATAACTTGTGGATTTGTGCCCCTGTCAATTTATAATGTAATGATACCGCCAATTAGAGAACAGTAATTTATCGACCGGACCAGTAACGTATAAAAACCCGTATGAGCAGTTTAGAGTCTCATCGGTCCTATTCCCTCCTAAACACACCCGTTAAGTTCAGAACACAAATCTCAGCCTCTGTGGTATGAATCATCTATTTCAAACATACTGAATTTATATACACCAACCAAATAGACCATATCATGCCATAAAATAGGAAACAACATTTGTACAAGATTTAGCCAAAAGTGGCTATGAATGTGAGAGATTGTAATTGGTATACTGGGCATAACTCAAGAATGGTAAATCATATAATAATAGTTCATAGGTCAAAATAAAGCTTGTAATTAGAGGAAAACGAATATGAGTAGTTTAGTTACTTAACAACTATACAATAAGAATATACGTATGGTATTATACCAGAAATAGATTCGGACAGTTACCATTCATTATTCTCATTGGGATATAACACACGTAATAGATACAACTTCATGTTCTCAACTTAAACATGTATTTAGTTATTTATCTGAGCTAACAGTGTAGAATAGTGACTATGCTACATGTATATGTCAGTAGGGGGTTTTGTGGATATTATAGTAATTCCAATAGTTGAAATCATGAGTTAGTTGATGTTAGACTGTCATTCGAGTGACACATCCACCATTGTTATTGGTGAGTTACTATCTCACAACAGACCTGGTTGAACTCCACTGGTGGCTACTTCTCACTAGAACTCCAGGAAATACCTCTTGAAACCAATCATTAGTGAGCATATGTTGATTTATATCAGAAGGGGTTTTTGTGGATATTATAGTAACTTCAATAGTTGAAATCATGAGTCACTTGAAGCTAGACCACCACGGGTTATCTGGAAGCACTGGATGGCTGTTTCGTCCTCATGTGGGACTCGTCAGCAGTGCGCATCCACGATCATGCACACGGGACTTGAACTCAGGACTTTCGATCTCGCACGCGAACGTTTAACCTCTATATCACTAAGCTCGCATCCAATGGCTCACTAATTAACTATAATCTCCACAAACCACCCATTTCTATAATAGTGAAATTGTTAATTAAAAAAACTGAATCCAGGACATTCTGTGTTTGTGTTTTATTCTCATTCTGTTTTTTTATTCACTTTTTCAGATTTACGAACAATCAATTAACTAATTTGGTAATACTGATTTATCATACAATAATATACTACTTATATTACTATTATCCGATACTACTATTGGTTATCTCTTTAAAACTTCAATTTATTAGTGAAATAAATAATGATTCTTAAATCAATGTAAAAATGATCTATTAAATGTTAGTTTATCTGTAAGAGCTTTCTGTTACCTCCTTGATCTGTCTACTCTGTTTTTGTGCAGTGGATAACTTGTCTAATCTGGGTTAAGACGTTGACGCAATAGGCTGATGGCTTAACCTTGAGGCTTATATGCGTGAGTTCGAAGTGAGACCAATGGCTCGGGATAAAGAGAAGAAAATTAGTCAATCACCTGATTGGCTGAAAAGCACACGAGTGAGAGAAGACAAGTCAACTGAAATAATACAAGATTTATTCCCAAATCCGATCCGCTCTCCGATTCAGAATAGTGTAAAAAGATGCATGAATAAACAGATAAATAACCAGACCACAACACTCAAACAATTAGGAAAATACAATTATGTCCAAAGTTACGAATTAGAATAGAAAATAGAGCACAAAAGATTACGTTTAAATTACAATAGCTTTGGAACAGAAAATGTTATGGCAGTGAATCATACATCAAACGAAGGCTTATGATCTGTAGAATAGACGAGGGAGAAAAATAAATAACACTGTATTACAAGTTTTGCATTAAATGAAATAACATCCCTCAAAATTAGCTTGGGTAGTTTCTCAATGCTTCTTGTTTTCTCTGTTCACATCACTTTCCTTTTCACAATGAATGACTTGTTCATTTTTCTCATGTCTATTTCCATTTCTCGGCGTAATGTGTTCTTTGGTCTTCCTCATTTCCTTTGGCCTTGAGGATTCCATGTGAGGGCTTGTCTTGTGATGCAGTTTGGTGCTTTCCTCAATGTGTGTCCTATCCACTTCCAGTGCTTCTTCTTAATTTCTTCCACCTCTGGGATCTGGTTTGTTCTTTCCCACAGTTGATTGTTGTTGATAGTGTCCGGCCAACGGATCCGAAGTATTTTGCGTAGATAACTGTTAATAAACATCTGTATCTTCTGGATGATGGCTTTCGTAGTTCTCCAGGTTTCTGCCCCATACAATAGAACTGTCTTGACATTTGTATTGAAAATCCTGACCTTGGTGTTGGTTGACAGTTGCTTTGAGCTGCAGATGTTCCTCAGTTGTAAATATGCTGCTCTTGCTTTGTCGATCCGTGCCTTCACGTCTGCATCAAATCCACCGTGTTCATCAATGATGCTGCTCAGATATGTAAAGGTTTTTACATCTTCCAAATCTTCTCCGTCAATTGTGATTGGATTGGTGAATTCTGTGTTGTATCGGAGAATCATGCTTTTCCCTTTGTGTATATTGAGACCTACTGCTGCTGAGGCTGCTGCCACACTGTTCGTCTTCTCCTGCATCTGTTGTTGCGTTTGGGATAGAAGGGCCAGATCATCTGCGAAGTCTAGATCATCCAATTGCATCTTAGATGTCCATTGTATCCCGCACTTCCCTTCAGACGTTGACGTCTTCATGATCCAGTCGATCACCAGGAGAAAGAGAACACAATGAATGAGTTAGGAACTAATTGGCTAGATTAGTTTGATCATTCATTGAAGTTATTGAAGTTAAGATTGTTGAGTAGCTATTTTATCCTTGTTTGAAAATTATATAAACCTCATGTTAATGCAAGATATTACACAGTACTGAAGTCAAAAAGTCTCGTTCATACTTTAAACACTATGTCTTGTTATTTACTGGATTATTGAACATTTGTGTGTTTCACGCTAATTATAACAAACACTCCCATAAAACCAGAAGTTAAGTCTATAGAAGCGTCCAAATCTCCCAATCGAGATAAGCACAAAATTGAAGTTCACAAAACAACGATTTGTGCGTAACTCAATTGGGTGACTTGGACGCTTTGATAAACCTAACAGTCCTCAATTTGTGATGTGTCTGCGGCGTTTAACGCGTCGTTTGGTTTAAAATAAAAAGGGCTTCGATAGTGTAAAAGACAGCTTATAGCTATGTCTAAACTGGATAACAGATTTCAACAAGCAAAACCCGAACCAAGAACAAACAATATGGAAGCCGTTTCATTCAAACGAAAAAGTTAAACGAAAATGCACAAAATTGAAGACAACTACTACAGTGATTCAGATAAAGTAATTATAATGATAAGTACAATAAACGTCATAAGTATGTGTAAATATTTCAGAATATTACACGGCAACTTGCATTACAACATAAATGTAAAAAGATTGCTGGGAATACGACTATTTACTTGAACATAAATAAGTAGTATAAAACAATATGCAAAAGAACTGAAGTGAAGTGAATAGGGATAGGGAATGTTAAACAGACTTGACACCATCTTTGTATCAATCCACAAAGTTGAACAAATAAGCTCTCTATAGATTACGGTTTACTACTAACCTATTAAAATTAATTTAAGTAGTCTCACTTAGATAATTTCGCATGTGTGGAGATATGATGAGTAGCAGATCTATATGACTTCTGGACGAATTTGCAACGTGTATAAATGAAACATTACTTTAACACAGAATGACTCATCGAATCCCGTGGGCTGGATCGTAGATGCATACTTCTGAGAAGTCCTGTACTAGGATGAAACAACCGTCTAATGCTTCCAGGTTTTCCATGGTGGTCTAACTTTAATTGACTCATGAATTCAACCATTTAATTATTCAAATCTACACAAAATCCCCCTCTCATAATAATCATCCTGAAACCTTATACCCCTTCAGTGAAAAGACTGCTAACGAATAAATTTTAAGATTCTTCTTTTCTCTCAAGTATACTACGTTCATACATTAATAATACTAGTCACGTTATATCAGATCCAGGATTCACAACCCAAAATAGAGAACTACATTAACACTAGATAATACTTTATTCAATACAGTCACACTCGGGCAGTTTGGAGTAGAAATCAATCAGGAGGATGAGAAATCATCCGTTTAATAAACTATAAGCTGTGGCTATCTGTTCACACTCAACGACCAAACATATTTAATGTCTATCATCACATAGATGCACTATTTGAAAAGACGTGATTAATACATTGTTACAAAACTCTTAATCATATGAAAGATATAATGTAAACAAAATACCTAATCAAAAGTGATACCATTTAAGAATACAGCATTGTTATCGAAGCACATAACGTAATAGTTATCAGTCATGTAAGCACATTGGTGTGCTACATAAAAGATGGGGCTATAATATCACAAGCGTTTAAAAATGATGGATAACATGAATAAGGTAGAAGTTAGGATTCAGTATCTTCCCAATAGGAGGATGGTGGCGTCATGTTAGCAAATAGTAAAGTGAATATATATTCCAATACTGTCATAATAAATGTATGAACACCTACTACGAGAAGGAAGGAAATAAAAATCAGGATTATGGAAAAATAATTAGTTATAGTTATATAATATACCCTTGTGGGCCAAAGTAATTTTACATTGGTTTTCAGGAGAACCAGACACCATCCAGACTTCCATGTTACAACCCAAATAGTACGACTCAATCCCACTTCACAGGAAAACCAGACACCGTATAGGCTTTAACGCTACAATTTGGATAGTGCAGCTCAATCCTGTGGCGCGGCCACATAGGTATCCTTGTGGACCATTCGCAACATTCATATACACATTCACGTGTTATTCTGATCAATGATCACGTGGATCAATTATGCACAGCACGAACAGGCCAAAGTTGACCGATTCCGCTTACACGAAAGTCAAACTCATTAATGTTAGCGATGACAACATACCTTACAATGTCTCAATGACAATCGCCCTTGAGAACACTGAAAAGGAACCACCAGTATAAATGAAATAGGTTAACCAGCAAACCAGTTTCGTGCATAAAGTCATCAAAACTTGCTAAAGTAATGCCGAACCATCCAAAATATCAATGGTGAACCTCCAGTCTTATATGAGACCTTCAGATCTACATAACAATATAGCTTATACTGCATACAACACATATGTGGGGTGGTAAACCCATTGTCTGGTGTCGGAATACTATTACTAGACTACAAAGATCATTTTTATCGCATTTGCGAAATTTTCATTTTCGCTACTTTTCAGAATGTGACTGAGTTAGGGGTAGTATCCCTAGAAAACCATTGGTAATTGATCAGTCACAAAACATGCGTTCGATTATTTCATAGCTTAATTATTCAGATCAAACTTTTCTTTTAGATAATCAACTATTCTATAAATATCCTTACAACAATGAAAGGGATTGTAAAGTTAAAATGGAATATAAGATTAATTAGGAATAACATAAGTGATTTGTGAGTTTGTGATCAAGTCAAAGGATAATATACCAACATGACGGTAAGCTTAACAAGTAAACTTAGTTGTAATAATGATCAAACACTTGAAATTCCTATAATTTTATTAGTGGAGTGAAATAAAACCTCTGATCTAAGCATTTATTAGGCCAGTATTAGAAGTGAGGAAATCCATCTGTAGCTCTTCTAGGTTTACTGCCGGTCTCAAGCCCGGGTAAAAGAGGAGGGCTACGCATGGGGTCAGCAACTCCATCCCGTAGAAAGCAACATTGCTAAAAAAGGAGTTAACCAGAATAAAAAATTTGAACCATTTAAACTCTGATCTTCGAGTTGAACGGTAAAGATACAAAAGAATTATGGCGCCTTATGATGAAAGTCAAGATTCTTCGGAAGTAACGAGGCCGATGCCCCTTCTAACAATCAGAGTAACAATTAAAATAGGCACATGGAATGTCCAGGTCATGTGGGGTACTACGAGAACCAATCGAATAACTGCGGAAATGAAGAGATACAACTTGACGGTTCTCGGAATCAATGAAAACCAAGCTGGACAGAAAAGGATAGCAAAGATGGGTGGTGGCTAGCAGTGGTATCCAGGATGCAGGATCCGCCCTGTTCTGGACTCGTCAGCTGGAGCTATCTGCATCTTAAAGTCGACGTTCACTCTGGGACTCGAACCCAGTACCATTAGCTTCCAACGACCATCGAGTTTTCAACTAGCCACTAAGTGTTGATAAACACTAATTTGTGCAAGTTCATTTTGTATTGTTTCTTTGAATCTTCCGATTAATGTCTAGAACTATAATTTATCAATCATCATAGTTTCTTACGG